CCCTGCACTGTGAATGTTTACATGTTATGTGCAATTAAACCATGGCAACATCTAATGTTTGTGTAGTATTATGTTCAGCAGACTGTGTTCTATTGTTGTGACTTAGATGACGTTCAGAGCACATTTTATGCCCAATTCATGCAAAACTCCACGTAATCCCATGGGGTTCACATACTTTTTCTTGCAACTGTATGACTTCTAAAGAGACATCAGATGAGAAGCACAGGGACTTGTATACTTTACCCTCAAGAGTCCCTTTAGATCAGGTTCAGGAGGGCAGTGTCTTCAATATGAAGAGAATCCCAGGACATGACTGCAACCTAGGAGGAACGTTCAACAGTAGCCTCTGAAAGGAAGTTTTCCAGAACTCTGTTCCAAGCATCAGCTATCAACAACAGAGGTAGTGAGCCAGTCAACAAGTGAACTTACACAGGCTTGGTAACAAAAAACAGATCTATACTATAATAAAAGGTTACAAAAATGAAAGTGGCAGACTGTATGGACCACTTAGTCTTTTTCTGAGTCTTTTTCTTAGTCTCAATCTGTGCAGTTGCGTGCTGGCTCCTTTTTAAAGTGGTTGTTACCCTTACAGATACCCAGTGAAGTGACTGGCTTCAGGTGATACACAGAGATGAAGCAAATCCTCATACATAAGTTGTACCTGTTTATCTGTAGTATTGTCTTCTCCACATCGCTTCTAAGTGCAGAATTTATAAAGCTTTCCAAAAAGCGGACATAGAGCTGAAGTTACACTCTGCAGAGAAGTGTGGAGAACTATGAGAGCTGATTGGAGGGAAAAGACACACCCCCCCCCCTCCACACAGCTTACATAAACAAAGCTGAGGCTGTCAATCAGCTGAAGGTCCTTCCCCTGTCCCCAATTTTCTCTTGGTGTCAGGCAAACTGGTCAGAAGTGAGTAATGCTAATAGCAGAGGAACAAGGTAGCAGACAGAAATGACATTTAGAGCTCTTAAGTACACACTATAGAGGGATATGCTTTGTGTATATTTTATGTCTGAGGTTTACAACTACTATATGACTTCTTCTTTAACGATCCACTATGGATCACTTTTCAGAGGATGATGAAAGGAGATTTCAGATGAGGCATTCAGATGGTGATGCAAATGTGAGACAAGTGTTTGGCTTGTGCTTGTGGTATGGTCCTATTCACTTTTATGGGAGAGCTTGGCAGACAGTGCCACCTGCCATAATTGGCAAGTTATGTTAAAGTGGTTGTAAAGCTCAGTCATGAAATATGAACAAGGCATATCTCGTTATAGTGTGTACTTGTATTAGTTAAGAGCATTAAGTGTCATTTCTGTTTGCTTCTTTGTTTATCTGCATGAGTCAATTCTGACAAGTTTTCCTGACACCAAGAGAAAAATGGTAACAAGGGATTGATCTCCAGCAGATTGACAGCCTGAGATCTGTTCCTGTGTGCTGTGTGGAAGGGATGGGTCTCTTTCTCCTCCAATTGGCTTTCAGAACTCTCTTCACTGAACTCTGCAATGTGGCATTTCAGCTCCCTGCACCTTGTTTTCTGAACACTCAGACAAGCTTTATAAATTCATCACTTTCAACAGATGTAGAGAGGAGAAGATTGATGATAGGAGGATTTACTTCATCTCTGTTTATCACTTGAGGCCAGTTACTTCACAGGGTTTACTGTAGACCAGTGGTTCACAACCACTTTAAATTTGCCTCAGCAGTGTGTACTCACCCAAGCGGCACCACATCTGCTTTTAGATGGGCAGTTGGGGCATTACAAATGTGAATCACCCCTTTGTTTTACCTCCCCTGGTCCATCCATGTGAAAGAAAACCTAAGATGTGAGCCTCTAGACCAGCCTTTCTCAGCTGGGGTGCCGCAGCATTCTGGGTTCAACAGTGAAGGGCAAGAAACTAGAGACTTTATCTTGGCAGAGAGGTAGCTTAATCAAGGCAACATTAATGTTGCCTTACCACCCCCCAACCTTACGTTTAAACAAGCCTTCAGACTGGGGTACCCTGAGACTGGAAATACTTTTAACGGCTCATTCACACTATAGCAATGCAATCCAGATGCGTTTCTGCATGTGCGTTTTTGACGTGTTCCGGTGCATTTTTGATGTGTTCCAGTTCATTTCCCCCCCCCTCCCTTTTTTTTTTCTTAAATTTAAATAGGTCATGTGCATTTTGGTGCGTTCGGTGCATTTTTGATGCATTTTCCACATTCCGCTACAGTTCCTTGCAGGAAAAATGCAGCCTATTCTACTTTTTTTTTTTTTTTTTTTTTACTGCATCTGGAATGCCCTGGAGCTGCAAGCACTCATGAGAACTATGCCATTGACAACCATATAACCTACTTTCTGTGCATTTTGAATGCAGAAAAAAAAAAAATGCACACTGAACTGCATGTAGTGTGATCTGGTCCTTAGGGATAAAAAACGCACTGGGACGCATTAAAAATACACTGGAACGCATCATCGCGCATGCAGAAACGCATCTAGACTGTGTCTCTATAGTGTGAACCGGCCCTTAAAGGGTGCCAGTAATGAAAAAAACTTGAGAAACCCTGTACTAGGCTAGACTCCCTGGCTTCTAAATTCCATATTAATTTGACATGGTAATGGAAGTTTACAACATCTCAGCTAAACTCCATCCAATGTAAGTTTTAGAGTTTGGGTATATGTCACTTTCTGACTTTTGATTTTTAGGCAATTGTTATAGAGATGTTGGATTTGAAAAAAATGTTGCAGATGTCATTTCTTCTGCATTGCAGAAGTTTTCCTACATGTGAGTGATCCAACCCCAATCCCTAAGGTCTCTCAGTGATTGATCCTGACATTTGTTTCAGTGTTGCCATTTGCTTGAATAATAAAAGGCAACATTGGTCTGGAACAATGTACTATGCTATGAACTATTACATCTGGGCCCAGAAAAACAAGGAAAATTTGGCTGAAAGTCGCACATGAACTGGAGGAAAATGTTGCTGCACCTTATGTGATAATTCATATGCAGGGATTAATAGGTCACACAATTTGTTTTTAAAATACAATGTTGAATCTCAGGATCAGGGGACCTAATTATTAAAAAGGCAGAAGGGTTTTTTTTTTTTTTTTTTTCTTTCTTGGCATTTTTTTCAGTGCTATCATACTTAGCTGATGTCCATTAGAATACCTGAGATCTGGGCATTGATCCCTGAAATCATAGGGCCCTAAATGTGATTACCCTTTGGTACACCATGCAGCCGCCATCCATCCTTGAGCAATTTCTGGCTCAGATAAGCTCCCACTGACGCAATTGATTTTTTTAGCTATCTATAAGGAGGCAATTCCTCCCAATGACCACAAGTGTAAAGAGACCTCTTCCCACTGACCATCACACTAACGTATCATGAGCAGGGGCGGACTGACCATTTGAAAACTTGGGCACTGCCCGAGGGCCTGGGGTCAGTAGGGGGCCCCATGAGATGCCCCTGGTACCTTTTTCATAGGCTTTTTTGAGTTTGGGCAAGGACACAGGGGCCCCATGATCCCCTATTGCCCGGGGGCCCCATGAGTTGTCAGTCCGCCCCTGATAATGAGTTGTAGATATAGTCATTTTTAGCAGGGGTTTCCTAAACTGGAAAAATATTTAGAGGGTTCCTCTCTGTTGAAAAGGTTGTGAGGCTGGTTTAACCGTTTTTCTGGAAATCCTGTGTTTTGAATATACAATTTGCAATTGTCTTTTCTGCAGTGGTCACAGAATACATAACAATAGATAAAACCTTGGTGCTGGAGAGGTAAAGGGATTATCTTAAAGTCCGAATGTTTGGTAAAAGTCCAACTGTATGTGGAGGGGAGGGAGTGGGGAACGGGCTGTAAAGAGTTCCAATAGGTAATGGACAACAGACAGCAGCATCAGTGGCAGCACCCTGAGAGTTAAGCTGGAGTCTGTAGACAAGGAAAGAGAAGAGAGGGGCGCCAGACTAAGTGCAGCATTAAACAGTAAGTTTTATTGCAGGGTAAAACAATGGCAACTCACTAGAAGTGAATAGGATCAGGCATGTCGCCACGGACGTCATCCTGTATGGGTCCCGGGAGCCGATGAAGAGAGAGCAGGAGTGTGTAATGCAGCAGCAAACCGAGTCTCCTGGATGCTCCGTGCTTGTTGCGTCCAGCAGCTGGAGGGAAAACCAGCCTGGAATGCAAATGGCACCGGGCGGACGTGACTTCGGATGTAGGAGCATGGTGCCGTAAAAAAGGGGGGGCGGTAACGCGTTTCAAAGCATAGCTTCCTCAGACCTGAGGTCTGAGGAAGAAGCTATGCTTCAAAACGCATAGGTCTGAGGTCTGAGAAAACGTTACGCTTCGAAACGTGTTAGTCTGAGGAAGAAGCTATGCTTCGAAACGCGTTACCGCCCCCTTTTACTGCACCACAATCCTACATCTGACGTCACGTTCGCCCTGGCGCCATTTGCATTCCAGGCTGGTTTTCCCTACAGCGGCTGGACGCAACAAGTGCTGAGCATCCAGGAGACCCAGTTTTCAGCTGTAGCTCCTGCATTACACACTCCTGCTCTCTCTCCATCGGCTCCCGGGACCCATACAGGATGACGTCCGTGGTGACATGCCTGATCCTATTCACTTCTAGTGAGTTGCCATTGTTTTACCTTGCAATAAAACTTACTGTTTAATGCTGCACTTTGGCGCCCCTCTTTTCTCTTTCACAGAATACATAAGCCAGATCATTCCATACCCTAATGTCCCTCACAAGCAGAGCAAGTTCAACATGTCCCTCATTTGAGTTAGAGACAAATAACATGCCAGTTATGAGTGGAAACCAGCACACCTGGGGTAAAGGAACCAACAGGGCAAGCAAACTCCATGGAGACAAGGTTACTTGGGAGACTTGATGTCGGCACCATTTTATTGTACCTTGGCAGAACATACAAACAAGCCATGCAGAGCTACCCAACATTAAAGAACTAAGACCCTGTGATTGCATGTAAAATCTTAGTGCCTTTTTCTCTTTCATAGCCCTACTGGATCACACGTTGAATGGTGCAAGCAGCTGATTGCAGCTACAATATCCAGCCAGATTTCCAGCTCTGTACCACCAGAAAATGTTTCCCGAGATTACAGGGTAAGTGCAGGATGAAAGAACATATGTCTTGTCATGGAAAAGTCACGAAGCAAGTCTTTCATGGGCTCCTTTGTGCCTCTCCAGACAGTGCATCCACTTTAAATCAACGGCATTGCCACTAGAGCTCTCAGTACTTCATCGTCATACATAATGGGGCTATAGACAAAACATTATTATTATAGAGAGAACTCCCACACAAGTTTCTGGTCCCTCAAGGTGCCAAGACTATAGTTCTGCTACTGATATGAACTATGTACAACCCCAATTCCAAAAAGGTTGGGATGTAAAAATTACATAAAAACAAAATGCAAGGATTTTCAGATTTCACAAACCATATGTTATTCATAATAGAAAACATCAAATGTTTTAAAATGAAAAATGTACCATTTTAAGTAAAAAATAAGGTAATATGGAAATCAGTCACAGCAACATGTCTCAAAAAAAGTTGGATTGGGACAACAAAAATCTTGCAAAGAAGAACTGGAAGAACATTTCACAATTAAGTTTATTTAGGTTTATTGGCAACAGGTCAGTAATATGATTGGGTATAACCAGGACATCTTAGGGAGTCAGTGTGTCTCCTAAGTAAAGATGGACAGAGGTTTCCATATGGGCTTGTGAGATCTGAAAGTCCTAGCATTTTGTTTTTATGTCATTTTTAAACAGCATCCCAACATTTTTGGAATGGGGGTATAAACAAAAAACCCACATCTTTCAGAAATAGTATTTTACTAATGTGTTTTGTAGTGGTTCTCTAAAGGCCTGTGTGATACATTTGGGATCATTCAGAATTCATTGATAGAACTAGGTTTGCACTCCAATAGACTAGTAAAGGAATGCAAAACCCTTTTGATGCAAACAAAGCCCATCAGCACACAACCTTACTTGTACTATCTAGACTGGTATAGAATGGCAATATTATTTTTCTTTATGCAACTGAAAACAACCTTTCTTTTTTTAAATGTAATTGTTAGTTTCAGACTTTGACTGTAGTCTATTGTAACTGGTGTTACAGCAAATTTTGTTTTATTGGGAAACCCCTCTAACCTACAGAAAACACCCCCAGACTTTCTCTCAGGTATATTCACATGTGATAAACATCCAGAACATTTTTTAAAAGTTTTCCAGACTTTTTGCACCCCAGCTGATCAACTGTTTTTTGGCTCCTCCAGAAAATAATTCTGAAGCTTTCTCTACTTGCAGATGCTTAGGCTTTTCTTTATTGTAATGTAACTCTGAGCTTGAAAGCTTGTTCTTCTGTTTATATTCATTGGCTGGATTGCAAGCAGTTTGACCCCGACCAGTCAGAATTAGACCCCTTTCACATAGGGCGGACTCTGCCTGCAATCCACTTGCTCAGCAGGGGATCTGTCTGCTGTTCCTCACTGAACAGACGCATGACAAGTCCGTGTCTGCTCCGCATATGCAGAGCGGACACCAGCACAGCCTGCTCACCTTTGTGGGCAGTCGGATGTAAGCAGACTGCCTGTACCTTTTAATGTCTGTCTGCCATCTGATACAATCTGCTGGACAGAAGGGGAACAGATCCCCATCTGTCTGTTTTTTTAGCGGATAGGATGTAGGTGGGTGTAAACGGACATGTCCGTTTACACCCTCTGCTCCATGGAGGAGAATTGGGTCTGCCTGAAATCGGGCAGGCAGGCCCGATTTTAGACCGACCATTTGAAAGCAGCCTTACACTTAAACTGCAGATGGTTTACAGCGGGGGTGCTCTAACCTTTTGAAGAGTAAGGGCCACTTAAGTGATTTGGTAACCATTCCCGGGCCACAATGAAATGAAATGGTTCAGAATTTCAAATGTATTTTGAATAGCATAAAGAACATTTTCCTCCTGCAGCCGCTGAATGCTGGTGGGAGGGAAAGGAAGAGAAGCCAATTTTCAGTGGTTGCAGGAGAATAATGGAAAGGATCAGTTCCTGTATATGCTACCCCGCCTTCCCCTCCTGTCCAAGTGTAAAACAGGATGTGACAGGGAGGCTACACCAGCCCCCTGGAGCATGGGGCAAGGTCACCATTGTGACCCTTATTGCTACACCATTGGTTGAGGGTGTGTGGTAAAAAACACATCTCAACTGTGGGGTTTTACCACCATCCAAACTGCAAATGTAAACGAGCCCTTACTGTCCTGAGCCCCTAGAAGGCTGCTTTCACATTGATGCGCTGCCGGTGTGGTGCACTTTCTGAAAGATCACCAAAACTCTTACATTCGGGAGTTCTGGTGCTCTTTCAGAAAGCACACCAAACCTGCAGGATATAATCAGTCACTGCACTGCACCCATAGGTCTGTGTGAAAACATCCTGATAGTTGTTAGCCCTTTTTATAGGTGTTTTATATGCCCATTGCAAAAGTGCAGTGTACCTGTTATTTAATACACTGACCTTTTCCTCTTCCAGCTTCTGCTGGCATCGCTCTCCAGGCTGCTAGAAAGGTGAAGTGCACATGGTGTCACTTCACCTGGGACAGGAGTCGCACTCCAGAGGAAGCATTGATTTATACAGCTCCTGCTCCCTCTGCTGCCAGCTTCATGCACTTAGATGCTCTGTGATTACAATCATTGGTTTGCCGAACCAGGCATACGCTTCCCTGGTTTGAGGTTGAGGGGCACAGGTTGAGCACCGCTGGTTTACAATCTGCTTAAAGGCAAGTGAAAAAGTATGTTTATATCAGCTGTTCTATATAAAAACGTGTTGTTTTATGTGTTTTGGTCCTTTTATAGAGTACTGTAGTCTGAGGAATTTGCATTTCATCATTAGGCATCATCCATAGATAAGATGCAATGTCTGAACATTTTCTTTGGTTCTTTCTTCCCTGTCATCCTCCTTGACAGCAGCCAAAGCAGAGCAGAGATCCTGCCCAACCCTACTTCCTCAGTATTTGTTACATTCAAGATCATTGTATCCTCTATAGAAAGAGATCTGTCTACTAGACATTTCAATACATGGATAATCTAGACGGATATATCTTTGTTGAACCTGTTAGAACGTACAGAGATAGTATGGTAAGGCACAGCTTTATTAGACTCTCCAGTACCTATCCGTTTGGGTACGTAGAGTGAATCTTCACATATGGGTGTGGTCATGGAGAATTCCTGATAGTGATTTTATTAGTGCAATCAATTCTGTGATTTATAATTTCAGGCAGTGAAGTAAATCTTGTCTTTGATAACATTGTGCCTTTTAACAGGTCTTCAAGAGGCCCGATTTAAGGGTAAGATATCTTTGGTGTTCAGCAAGTCGGCCTCTTGCCAGTTTGTGCAGTGTGCTTTGTGTTGAAATTCTTTATATATGTGTGCTTTACGTATCGAAATCTCCAGTCATAACTTAATATTTCTTGTAGAAAATGTTGTTGCTGTAGAGTGAAGAGAGCCAGACTGTTTATTAAATCTTCATCCTTCTGGTGTAAACTATGGGCTTGATTTACTAAAGGCAAATAGGCTGTGCACTGCAAGTGCAGTGTACTTTCAAGTGCATTTGGAGAGCACTTGCAATTCACAGCCTTTTTGCCTTTTGTAAATCAACCCCTATGTGTCATTGTAAACAAGACCTCCAATGTAATGGTAAAAGGATTTTTATATTTTTATTTATATATATATATATATATATATATATATATATATATATATATATATATATATATATATATGAGAAAGGTTGACCGTACGGGGCCCTGTAATAGCAAGCAATGCAGCTGATTTGAGCATTGCTTGTGACACTCAGCTTGTATAAGGGCATTGTAAAAAATGCCTCCAAGCACCACAGGTGATTGCTATCACAAACAGTCCTTTTTTTTTTTTTTTGGCGCTAAAAAAAAATATTTTTTACTGATGGCCAATGGTTCTCATCTCTAGAGTGAAAATTGAGCAATCTTTAATCACCTACATACTACTTTCATCAGTTACCCAAACAGGGACAAAGATTACAGGCCTTCCAGATAGTACATGAGTTATTATTACCTAATGTCTTTGCTCAGCCTGTAACATTTAACTCCTTTGCTTGCACTGAGAAATCAGCGTGAATGCAGTTCTAGTGACACCATTAAAAAGTATTGTCGGTTCTAACACCTTCACTACATCATGCTTCACAGCACCATAAAGGGAAGATCTTATTTCATCATGGGAGCCAAGTTTCCTATTCTTCTCAGCAGTGATAGGTGGAGGAGGGACAACTTACAAAAATGAAAATTCTGAGGCTATTTTGTTTTTCTATTAAATTATTTTTCTAAAACTGTCTAGAACAGAGGTCTCCAAGCTTTATAAACAAAGGTCCAGTTTACTGTCCTCCAAATTTTAGGGGGGGCCGGACTGTGGCCAGTGAGAGCGGAAAATGTCCTAACATCAGTGGGAGAAAACAATGCACCATCGTTGATGGCAGTGGGAAGAATAGTGCCCCATCGTTGGTGGCAGGGGGAGGAATAGTGCCCCATCGTTGGTGGCAGGGGGAGAATAGTGCAGGGGGAGGAATAGTGCCCCATCGTTGGTGGCAGGGGAGGAATAGTGCCCCATCGTTGGTGGCAGGGGGAGGAATAGTGCCCCATCGTTGGTGGCAGGGGGAGGAATAGTGCCCCATCGTTGGTGGCAGGGGGAGGAATAGTGCCCCATCGTTGGTGGCAGGGGGAGGAATAGTGCCCCATCGTTGGTGGCAGGGGGAGGAATAGTGCCCCATCGTTGGTGGCAGGGGGAGGAATAGTGCCCCATCGTTGGTGGCAGGGGGAGGAATAGTGCCCCATCGTTGGTGGCAGGGGGAGGAATAGTGCCCCATCGTTGGTGGCAGGGGGAGGAATAGTGCCCCATCGTTGGTGGCAGGGGGAGGAATAGTGCCCCATCGTTGGTGGCAGGGGGAGGAATAGTGGCCCCATCGTTGGTGGCAGGGGGAGGAATAGTGCCCCATCGTTGGTGGCAGGGGGAGGAATAGTGCCCCATCGTTGGTGGCAGGGGGAGGAATAGTGCCCCATCGTTGGTGGCAGGGGGAGGAATAGTGCC